TATGTAAACATCCTATGGGACAAGAGAAGCACCAGCTTGTGAGCTATTCCTATAATAAAACTTTGACTTTCACTTTGATTGTGCGTGCACTTCATGCTTTAATTAGAGAACAGAAGAAAGCAGCACGGTAGCAATTAACATTGAAATTCTATCTGCAAAATTTAATACATTTCACTCAAGATTTGTCTTGTGCCTTAATCAAACCGAACATGACACAATAGGAAAGCATGTGGATGATAACTGATTGTTTACTTTTGACCCCGTGTTTAACGTGTTTTCAGAAGGTCACTTCCCAAGAGCGAACACCCTTGCAAATTGAACCGACTTCGTCGGGCACGACAATGTTCGTTCTAGGGCGAGAAGAAAGTAAAGGATCCTTGAGAGGAGGGAATATTCAACAGCATTGGTCTCGTTAGTATATCTGGCAACCCATTGTTTACTAGGGATTACCTTGAGGGCCTGTACTTTCAGTGATGGAGTTACTTGAAGAATCAATCGAGAAACCCACAAGTGATGAATCTGCAAGAGCCTGCGAAACCTCTAATTTCTTCCTTTGAGAAGGATAAGCCATCTTCATTAAAATCGTCGAGATTTTGTATAACAGATATCCAGAGAGCCACCAGGCTTTTGTTCGGGGACTCACCTATGACCTATGCACAGAAAAATGCAAGGTAACTTTCTGATCATGCGTGATTGCCGATTCTTTCTAAGGGCCCATTCGTTAGCTGATAGGCGTCAGGAATAGCAGGAATTCATCCAACCTTGACAATCGGACCGGGAACCAAGCAGTAGATCTCATTGGCCCACTATTGATTAGCAGTCTTCAAATATCCAAGAGCCATCTCGAAGAAGTTTCCGACCCTGGTCACTCTCGACCGGATTTAGTTCAACTGTCCCGTGGTTGGCCGTTTCTGTGTGCATCAGCTTCCTGGATTCAACGCCAACAAACCAAAAAGAGGCAATGTCCCGAAGGGACATAACACTAACAAATCAGAACTGCTAGTCCTATCAAGCACCTCCTATATGTTAGGTAAAAAGACTATTTTTACCTAAAACTGACTATTTTTCGAGTGTCTGCAATTCGGAACATCTCCAATCAATACC